AGCAATGTGGCTGCTGCATAAATTAGTGTGCTCTGGAGCCATCCCTTCCTGAGCTGAGACAAAAATGTGTGAGCTGGAGGCTAAAAAACTGTGAGCTAGCTCACACTAACTCAGCTTAGAGGGAACACTGGCTGAGAGCTATCTTGAGGCCGTGAGGGACGCCCGCTGTAGTCAAGGCACTGGATGCTTGTCGGAAGGAGTCGGAGCGGAGGCCGCACACGTGGGGACGGCGGAGAGGGCTGGTCGTCGGGCCTGGGGGTCGTTTGGGGGCCTGCATATGACTGCCTGCCCCGTGTTCCCTCTAAGCTGTGTTAGTGTGAGCTAGCTCACAGGGCTTTTTTAGCCTCCGGCTCACACCTTTTTGTCCTGGCTCAGGAAGGATGGCTCCAGAGCAAACTGATGTACGCAGTAGCCAAACCTCTCACTCACAACTTTAATGCCAGTCACTCACAAGGTAGGGTTTTTGCTCACAGGACTCCATAGTTTAGTGGGAGCATTATGGCTTAATTATGACAAGAAAGCGGTTTCCCTTGGAGAACAACCTTTAGAATTGCTGTTGTGTGTTGGCACTTTGAATGGGACTGCAAGTCTTAGACCTGCCCAAGAACTCTCTCCTGGTCCAACTGCAAGATATCTGCCTCTTTGAATTATACACAGAGCTCAACCGTTGTGGCAGCGGTGCACCTGTGTAGTCACCATTTTGATGCGCTGGGCTTCTTGGTCAACCAGAAAGACCTGCATTCTTAGCCGCTAGCTGAGTTATGGCGGCCTTCCCATTCTGGTGGAAAACTAGTTCTGTGTGATTTAAATGCTTGCATAAAACTTTGTGTCCAAACTGGGGCGTTTTTTGGGGGGGGGGCTCTTTGTAACACCAGGAAAACAAAAAAACCATTTGTGTACCGAGCTTGAGATATATTCTGGTCTTGGAGAGGAGAATCTTCCGGTCTTTGCACATTTGTAGAGTGACCTACTGGCTGGGCTGTAGTAGAAGCAGGAGGGCGGCCATATTTGTTGTTCACACACCTACCCGATACGTGTCTAAAGGACTGAGTGGTCTGATTTTAATGTCAACAGGATGCGTAGCCCTTGAGCCTTTCTCACTCGCCTGTCTTACATGCCAGTTTGGTGTAGTGGTTAGGAGCGTGGGCTCTGAGAGAACCGGGTTTTGATTCCCCACTCCTCCACATGCAGCCGCTGGTGTGACCTTGGGTTAGTCACAGTTCTCTCAGAGATGTTCTCTCAAGAGCAGTTCTCTCAGAGCTCTCTCAGCCCCACCTACCTCACAGGGTGTCTGTTGTGGGGAGGGGAAGGGAAAGGAGATTGTAAGCCGCTCTGAGACTCCTTCAGGTAGTGAAGGGGAGGGGGTATAAATCCAATCTCTTCTTCTTTTCTTCTTCTTCTTATTTTGGTACTTGAGAGAAAAGACCCCAGGTGATATTGGAGGCAGTGTGGGTTCTGTTCCCTTCACCTTTGTGCCCTGAAAATGTGGTCCTCCCAATTCCTGCTCTGTAAAAGAATGGGGCGGACACGTATAAAATAAACTGTTCTCATTGTGGTCAGTTTACCACCCAGGTTCCCTTGGCCTTACCTTGTGACTGCCAGTGACCCGTGGTTTCACTGTGCCTGAAGAAAGAGAGCTGTTGTTGACTGATAGGTATGCGAGGAGCTTATACATGGTGTGATAGTTTGGGGGGACCTGTTGTTAGCCGGATCTTTAAGGCTGCAGGCGTTTCTGGTGGCTCTGCTGTGGTACCGGACAGATCCTATTATCAACAGCTGACAAGAGGTGATGGAAAGGAGTTCTCTGCCTGAACCAATACATATTTACTCAGAATCTAAGCCCCACTCAACTCAGCGGGACTTACTCCCATGTGAGTGTGAAATACCATTACAGCTCCACCTTTACTGCCTTGGAACTATGTGATCTGGCCAGATGGGTGGTATGATTATGTATTGATACCCATTTTAGTCTAAAAACGAACAGTTTGTTTATTAGTGAGAGCCAAATGGGAACTAGATCCCTTCTCTAAAGGGACTGCTCCAGTTACATATTAAGATACATGTTTTGGAACCAAAATGGCCATTTTATTTGCTGATACAGGCCATGGTTAAACCTCCATCTCTTAAACTGTGATGACACACACTAAATAATCCATTTGCAATCCACTTTCAGTGCACTTTCCAACTGGATTTTGCTAAAATCCAACTGGAAAGGCCATTGAAAGTAGATTTTTTTATTGTATGTGATCGCAGCCTTAATGGACTTTTACCACTTGGCAATGATATTGGGGAGCTACCTTTTCCAACATTTGGTTTAGAAAGCCCAAAAAGACAATAGATTTGGGCTTCTTGATACCTGATTCACGACATGATGCATCCGGATGACCCCGGGGACTCCTCAGTTTTTAAGGAGCTATAACAGAGGCTTGTTCAAGATCCTAAAATGTCAAATCTGCCTTGAGGGTTGCATGCCGCCACCCACACTCTTGGGCTGTGTGCATGATGAAACATAATAGTTGGCTGTTCTGAGCTAGCCTTAAAATAGATACTAACTCAACTTTGTGTTTTAACTGATTTAGAGTCCTTTGCCTTCTCTTCAGATAGAGTGGATCAGTGAATGCTATGTGGTCCTCAACTCCGGTTTGTGTCTTATAAGGCTGATAGATATCGTCTAATCACTGTTTGTTCAGAAAGGCTCTTGAGAATGGATTTCCAGGGAAAAACAAATGCCCTTTTGTTTCACATCTATTTTGTGCAAGCGGTGTCTTCCAAAGATTACAGGGGTGTTAATTTCCACACTCCTAAGGGCAGCAGCTCACCTCCTGGCTATTCCAGAAGGCTAGCTGTGTCAGTCTGCTGCTGCAAAAAATAAGCAGGAATCTTGTGGTACCTTAAAGATTAGGGATGGGCACACTCCTAAGGGCAGCAGCTCACCTCCTGGCTATTCCAGAAGGCTAGCTGTGTCAGTCTGCTGCTGCAAAAAATAAGCAGGAATCTTGTGGTACCTTAAAGATTAGGGATGGGCACACTCCTAAGGGCAGCAGCTCACCTCCTGGCTATTCCAGAAGGCTAGCTGTGTCAGTCTGCTGCTGCAAAAAATAAGCAGGAATCTTGTGGTACCTTAAAGACTAGGGATGGGCACAGACCGGGAAATCCTGGTTCGGTCCGGGGCTCATGAACCAGGCAGTCCGGGACTGAACCCTGGTCCAAACACCTGATCCCAAAACTCCATCCAAAGTGCAACTCCATTTTCCAGAAGCCCAATGCCACCCAGAAGTGGCGGGTACACATTGGGCTGAATGTGTTCACGAGCCTGCCCAAAAAGTTTGGGGTGAGGGTCGGGGGAAGGTGCCTTCCCCAGACCTCAGCTCACAATCCCCGACCTGGGCACAGTCCGAGCCAGACTTTGGCTCAGTGTTTGGGTCTGTGCCCATCCCTATTAAAGACTAACAAGTTTTTATTCTAGCAAAAGCTTTCTGTGTTGTGTTTCCTTCCAACTTCTGTGTCTTATTGGGCCTGGAAGTTTAATGCTAGCCTAAAAAATGTGTGGCCATGACCAAGGTAGCCCGGGCTAGTCGGATCTCATCAGATCTCCGAAGCGAAGTAGGGTTGACCCTGACGAGTATCTGGGTGAGAGACCTCCAAGGAATACCATGGTTGTGATGTGGAGGCAAGCAATGGCAAACCACTTCTGAACATCTCTTGCTTTGAAAACCCCACCAGGGTTGCCAGAAGCAAGCTGTGATTTGACAACACTTTCCATCACCACCAAAAATGTGTCAGTCTGCTGTTCATCAGGGGTGTTGTACTTGGTATATCCCAGGATCCCTATGTGTGTGTGACAAACGTTACTCCTTCAGCACCCTTCTGTGAACTTGGTCCTTAGTGTGACCTGTTGATTTGTTCTTTGGCAGGAGCTTCTTACTGGTGAACAGCAACATGGTAGAAAAGCCGAATCATCTATTGCGTTGTGGGGAGGGGTCATTATGGTCTTGTTGAAGGGAACTTATGGGGAAAAGTCAACATGGTGACTTATGTGTCTTTGGAGCATAATGTGATCAGGTGGAAGGCTCTTTCGGTCTGTTTTCCCTCCTCTGAAAGAATTCTGTAGAGGAAAAATGGATTGTTTATATCTATTATTTATAGTATTAATATTTAATTTCAGTACTGTTGTCACCCTGACCTGGATAGCCCAGGCTAGCCCGATCTCATCAGATCTCAGAAGCTAAGCAGGGTTGGCCTTGGCTAGCATTTGGAAGGGTGACCTCCAAGGAATACCAGGGTCATGACACAGAGGTAGGCAATGGCAAACCACCTCTGAGACGTCTCTTGCCTTAAGAAAAGCAACTCTAGTTCGCCACCTAGTGGTGCATGACACTAAAAGAGCTACAACTTATGGCTGCCAGACAATCTTAGGATCTCCTGGCTATACTACACACAATGCCATATGATGATGATGATGTTGATGATAATGCTATTGTCATTCACCTGGTCACAGTCTATCAGAACAAATTCACTTAAACAGATAA